AGGACATGGTATTGGCGAGTGTGAGTGTCAAACTGTTATAATTGGATATATTACTGACAATAGTGCTGCACCTTCAGCCTCAAATACATCGAGAGTCTTAGAGTGTCATGATTTTGAGGTTTACCTATACCGTCTTGTGACCAGTCGATGATAATTGCTATGCTGTTGTGAGGAAACAATAAACAGTGAAAACTGTTAATGACGTGTTACCGAAACCCCACCAGCTCTGGAGATTTAATTTCCATTTGAAAAGGAAATCAATGCCGATATAAGTGCTGCAGTTGTTTTTCAATCATGAATTGGCAAATATGAAGTCGATTTATGTCTGATTTTAATGGCCAAATATATATGTTGTCATTTAAATGTATTTAACACGATTCGTTTTGCTTTTGCTTAGAAGGAATTAATGGCGAATTATTACAATCGCATAACAATAAACACAACGTGGCAATATTATAATTGTGAAATTGAAACTGGATGAGGAGGAGGAGGAGGGGGAGAGAGGAAGCCCTGTTACTGGTGACACTAAACGAAAGTTGTTAACTGTTCGCAACATGCAAATCTCCCATTAGTTTGAGGAATAGCACACCATTATTGTGAACATGAGAGGAAGAAGACGAAGAAGAAAGGGTAAGGACACACGCACACTCTGAAAATGAACTGTGTCGCACATGTAGAACGCGTTTAGATATATGCGCTAACTCTTTGTACTGTAGTACAGGTGACTGAAAGCGGGTATTTCTCAATTGAAAATTCCTTGTCATTTCATCCCAAGCCCAAATGAGTTCCGTGGCATTCCACTGTTCCTTTGAATATAGTCCCGCTGTGAGTTGTAAACAAATAAACACACTTAACCCTTTTCCCCAAAAACAAGCCTCATATTCGTTTTGAAAGGAAAAACACATATCAAACTCGTGTATACCGTTACCCCTTCTCAACCCTTTTATTAGTTCCCCAACAGAAGTTACACTGAAAGCTTAATAAAACGCATGGAATGTGTTTCTATTTCCGTTTTTCCACAAACATTGTTCGGAGTGAAGAAATGTGCGTCTGCATCACCTGTAAATCGTTTTCGGACACGCATTTTAGTAAAGGTCCTTGCCGTGGTTAGTTGAGAAAGTACACATAGATGGAAATACCTGCAAGTGAACCCAATCTGCAAAAGACTAGACTATCCAACTAGAATTTACTAGAAAAAATTAAAGATGTATTGGACGTTATGCAGACTAATTGTCTAGAAATCTTATCGGTGAGAGGATGAAGTTATTCTCCAAAAATCCTTTTTTAGTTCTGTATATGAATTGTATGACCACCATTAGAAGGATTTTTGGTTCAGCTTACGACTTATTTGATATTGTGATTTCACCAAACCTTTATGGTCTATGCTAATTAGAAAGAGATAGGAATCAAATGAACTCACGTCTATTTATGATCGGTATGTGCGATCGGATGGTGCGATCCGATGCAATTCTTATGTTGCTCAATACCACTGATAACAAACATGAAAATTCATGAACTTGTAACAAACTCGGAAAGTTACCAGCGGGAATAGAAAATGAACATTCTTACTTTCGACAGGTTCTAATTAATAGTTTTGCTCATTTTCGTAAATAACCTGAGTCTGAACGAATTCCTTAAATAGTTTTCAATGCATAAGTATATCTATATTAGACTTAACTAAGTCTACTTCGAGAGTTTTTATGGGCACTAGGAATACGTTCAGCAATACTGACGGATGATTGTATGTGGCTAACAAAATAGATTAGGTTGAAACGAGGGGTGAAACAATCACTACATATCATGGTGGACATACACTAAAGCCAGTATAGGCCTGTTGTGCACTCTAGACTTAAAGGTTGTTGAAAGAAGACCGGCAGTTTACAGTCTATTATATTTGAAACTGATCTGCCTTAATAAAATTCTTTGACTGTTTTATTTCATTTACCATGATCTGATTAAGGTCTGGTATGGAGTCGTTCGTCTCTCTTACCTAATAATAAAAGATTCTTCGTTTTTATCTCATTGGGGTCCCCCAATGTTGAATCAGTTTATATATTCCAATACAATTTCTGAATTTACTGATTTATGGAGGTTATAGATATATAGCGAACTTACTGTCCGTTAAAAATTTGTGGTCCAATTAAAATTTATGTTGATCACGAATATATATACAAACGGAATGATGGATGACAAATTTAAAATACCCTTCTTTTCATGGGGCAGAATATAAAAACAGCAGATTTTTTTAAGAATTCCTGGGCAAACTCATTTCGATAGTAACTTCTCAAAATAATCACGTTCGACCTAACAAAGAATAAATCGTTGATCAGCAAAATATTTAAAGTCAATTAAGCGATGTACGGCTGTCTGTCGGCCTGTTTTTATTACGCTATCTTTCGAACGAATCGGAATAAAAGGCTGACATTTTGCTCATATGTATATTACGTCAGTAGGCAAGTTCGGTAATGAAAATAACTCTCAAATGGATCCTTAAAATTTCACGTTTTTCACATAGTCCCATATAACATTACCATCCTCTTTATGCTATTTTCAGGAACATTTGTAGTTGTTTGTCCATTTCATCCCCTTAATATATTGCGGATATCTTTGAAAACAATAGGCCTAGCCCTTCTGAGCCTAACCCTACCCTTGTAAAAATGTTCGTTAGGATCGAACGATAATTGCAATCTGTATATAATAACCCCAACCTGTGTTGTAAGGTGAAAAAATATTACAAAGTATACACTTCAATATTTTTAGTCAAATTGAAAAAATCGCATGCGATAAAAATATGAAAAAATTAAAAAATGTCACAAAATACTACAAAATCAATATTAACATCATTATTGGCATCTTTTTATGCGAATTTTTTAGATTTTATATTTTTATGCCAAGAGGGCATTTTTAGCTGACAAAATTGTGAAAATCGGTCTAGCTATTCTTGAGATATAAGCATTCTAGCTATCCCCTCCCTTTGTATATAAATATTGTATATATTTCGCTATATATCCGATATATTTACTATCGGCATCTACGTAATGGTCCGAATTGACCTCTTCGGCAATTTGCGATTTCGTCGGGACTAAAAATATTCGCGGTTTAATGGGAATTTTGAATTTATTTAACAAAAATGTTATGGTCTATTTCACCCACTAAATATTACCCGATGACCATCAAAATCGGAAGGCTTTTGCCCAGCCCTTAGCTTTAGCCCCATGGTAACTTCCGCTTCGATTGGTCTATATTTGCGACCTGTAGAGCAACTGCAAAATCAGGACATTTTTAAGTTTTTGGTCCATTTCAACCCCTTAATATTATGCGATCCTCTCCAAATGCAATAGGCTTCTATTCTGACCATATCCACACCAACATTTTCAATTTCGCGAAAATCGGGCCACAACTGCAACCTGTAGAGTGATTACAAATTAACATGGACAGACAGACAGACGGACGGACGGACATACATAGCTAGATCGACTCAGCTCGGCGAGATAGGAAGATCCATATATACTTTCCTATGTGACAAAACAATATTCCGAGGTGTTACATAATTTTTGGCCCAATCAAACTTATAATAGTGTTGTAGGGTATACAAATCTCCGCCAGACACAAATTATTATAAATCAATGATGACATTCCATTCTTGAGATATAAGCATTCTAGCTATTATCCCCTTCCTTTGTATATAAATATTGTATATATTTCGCTATATATCCGATATACTTACTATCGGCATCTACGTAATGGTCCGAATTGACCTCTTCGGCAATTTGCGATTTCGTCGGGACTAAAAATATTCGCGGTTTAATGGGAATTTTGAATTTATTTAACAAAAATGTTATGGTCTATTTCAGTCACTAAATATTACCCGATGACCATCAAAATCGGAAGGCTTTTGCCCAGCCCTTAGCTTTAGCCCCATGGTAACTTCCGCTTCGATTGGTCTATATTTGCGACCTGTAGAGCAACTGCAAAATCAGGACATTTTAAAGTTTTTGGTCCATTTCAACCCCTAAATATTATGCGATCCTCTCCAAATGCAATAGGCTTCTATTCTGACCATATTCACACCAACATTTTCAATTTCGCGAAAATCGGGCCACAACTACAACCTGTAGAGTGATTACAAATTAAGATGGACGACAGACAGACGGACGGACATACATAGCTAGATCGACTCAGCTCGGCGATATAGGAAGATCCATATATACTTTCCTATGTGACAAAACAATATTCCGAGGTGTTACATAATTTTTGGCCCAATCAAACTTATAATAGTGTTGTAGGGTATAAAAATCTCCAGACACAAATTATTATAAATCAATGATGACATTCCATGTGATACGAATCGATGCCGAAATAGCCGTCAATCGGCTATATCACTTCCTCATAACAGATCATGGTAATGAAAATAACTCTCACTTTTTGGGGGTTCAAAAGAGTCAAAATGTGCATTCTTCTTAATCCCGATTTCCAACACATCCCAACAATATTGAATTGTCACGTGCTGCTGTCAAGTGGTGTATCTCGCAACGTAGAGGAATTCAACCACCCCTCTCAAATAATTTTCATAGATTGAATAAATGGTTCATTAGCTTTCCACAATTTCATTTGGATTTCAAGCGCTAATCATGACTGTCGAGATTTTTGTTTGAGGCAACATTGCTAAGTCATGAATTTTATACCTGTCACCCCTATTGTTGAATTCGTCGAGATCTTTAACACTTCTCCCATGGTCTCTACTCCACAGCAAATATCGAAGTCGATATTTCAGTCTGCCATGCCAACAATAGCTCCCTTTTGAAAAATAAACATGTTGTTTCTGAACAAGACAAATTAATAGACTCTTGTCATTTCGCCACAAAGTTATCAATTGAGAGACACGAGAGAAGAGACACACCCTCTCTAACGCGGAGTACTTACAATAGTGCTGCGTCATTGGGCATTTTATAAATGCATAAAAATGTGGGACACAACCCCAATGTTTTGCACTATTCAGACCAAAGTGGAAAAGTAAAGGTTTTTACAATATCAATTAGTTATTTTTCCATTAATTAATTTTTAGAAAATTACAAAAATTTCTGTAGTTTTGGTAAAAATTGACATTTAAAAAAGTATTTTTTCATTCTCTCTCTCTCTTCCCCCCCTAAAGGATGTTTTGATTTCACGATTAAAGTTGGCTAGTATTCTTTGCCTGGATTGCATGATAAACATATTCCTCCCGTATAAACAAATAATAAATGAGGAATTTCCCAAACAAATGGCTTTAAATAATTTCAATATTTTGTGGGAATACGAACCAATTGGAATATTTGTGGACTAGGAGTTAAATGTTCCTTTGCAAGTTTGTAATTATATAAAAGCTATTGCTTCATTTGGCATTTGACATTTTGGGTGGTCCAATATTTCTCACAGCTCAGCAGGTGACTTATGCAGAAATGGTAACTGGACGTAAATCCATCAATCGGGCGCCTATTATTCGTGGCTGCAGACAATGGATTGACGCAACAACAAACAACACATCATCAACACTGGACTCATCAGCCACCACATCACAATACTCCTACCAGCTATCATGAGATATCGACACACCACCCAGCCAGTGTAACAAAAGAAATAGTCAATTGGGCCTGTAACCCGTCGCCGATTAATCCATGCCCAATTCCAAGGAACCACTAGAGACAATAAACAAAATAAAAATCAGTGGACGACGTGTGCAATTAGTAAGGCTGGTTTCTGCTGTGTGCATGTTAGACCATGCAAGTTCAGTTGAGTTATGTATCTTAAGGAACATGGTTATTAATGCTTCTGGCTGGAGCTAATGATGTTGTTGGTTCTGGTGTCGGCTATGCCGCTGTTATTGCCAATGTTGATGGTGATGGACAACACCGCCACCAAACAGCATGTTGGGCATTGTTTGGTGGCGTTGTCGTTTCTCCAAAATTACAAGTGGATTGATTCTAACTGGGAGAGGTTGTTATAAGCCGATACAGCATCAGTTAGATCAGTCGACGTTGTCGTAAGTGACGCCATGGCCAGTTTACTGCTTGTCTTGAAATCATTAATCAAAAGACGTATTGTTGTCGAAAAGATACTTTCTTTTTCAATTCATGCTATCGTCCATAAAGACTTCGATTTGGGAGTGAGGAGATGGCCGGTTTGTGGTTAATATATAACATATAATTTCACACGCTAAAAAAATTGTGAAAAAAATCCCAAATGCTCTTAAACATCTTCAAAAAATTTTTCACACAACAAGTGATCTATGGCGGTTTACAGCCAGGAAACCTTCACAAATCGGATCAGATATATAGTCGTACAAGTTAGTTCGCACAATTTTTTTAGTTTTCTATTCAGTCACTCGAGGAGTAAGCTATTAATAATGCATGAACATGCCTTCTTAAGTTTAGTTTTAATAATAACCTAGTCGTAGCAAATGTTCGTTGTGCACCCTCGCAAGGTTTTTCTTCATGGTCCTGTATATACCCTGCCTGAGTGACATGGTTTTATCGGTTTTGCGACAGATGTATACCCTCAGCTAATGTTCGTTAATATATATATTGACTTGCGTTATGAAACTGTTGACCCCTTATGGGGAAAGTTGCGAATGAGTGGGCTAACATACTCCGTTTCGTATTTGAGCTAAGACTGATATAAATATTACAACATGCTAGATTTGACCTACATCGACAATTTCCTTTACTTTATGTCAGATATGCAATATTTTTTGGGGAGGTACTTTATGGAGTGGACCGATATTGGATTTGCAAAGTTTGCACAAAATCGTATGATCCTTTTTTGTTCTGTAAGGTATAGATTTTGAGCACCAGCTAGACAGACACCCTAGAACGACTCCAAATGTTCTAAAGCGGGTTTGGTCCCAAGGGATCTAGGATATAAAACCGTTATTTCGATGAGGTACTACTTGAACGTATCAAATAATACGTGTAAAAACTTCTTTATAATACTAACTTCCCACCAAACTGAAATTTGAATTGGCAAAACTCTCACAATTTTTCTTAAAATTTAAAATGAAGGTAAATATTGTCTACTTGTTGAAACAAAGTTTAAAAATTTCACCTCTCGCAAACTTTCAAAGTGTGATTAATTCTATATCTCATATCAAACATAAAAATATATTTGGAATAAGATTCAATAACACAATTTATGAATGAAATATCCTTTACACCAAAAAAAGGGATCTAAAATATTTTTCCTTACATCCAAATAATGAATACTGTTCCAAATCTCGTGATCTCTCACAATTTTTCTTAAAATTTAAAATGAAGGTAAATATTGTCTACTTGTTGAAACAAAGTTTAAAAATTTCACCTCTCGCAAACTTTCAAAGTGTGATTAATTCTATATCTCATATCAAACATAAAAATATATTTGGAATAAGATTCAATAACACAATTTATGAATGAAATATCCTTTACACCAAAAAAAGGGATCTAAAATATTTTTCCTTACATCCAAATAATGAATACTGTTCCAAATCTCGTGAGCAGTATCCAATTTTGAGGCCAAAATTATTTTCTTAACCCAAAAACAAATATCGTTGATGGGCTCGCAATGTTTTTTGATGGGATTATAAAAGAATATTTCCAATACGCTTTTATCTTCAAGAATCGACTAGTTTTTCCATGTCAAGCACTTTTTACTTTATAAATTGGAAACGTTTTAGAAATTTGTTCGTACTCGGAAACACACATATCATTTTACGTCGATATTAGGTATTTCCGATACCTCTTCTAGTAAAAATTACTCAGTAAAGTTTAGTGAAAGACTTTTCTCTTTCGCGTCCAAATATTGCAATAAGTTATCCAACAACATTCAGTACAATCTAGCAAGAAAACAGCTGTTTCGAACCATGAATATGTTACTCTTTTGAATTGTTGAGAAAATGGCATCAGAATTGCAATTTTTGTAGTAAAAAAAAATATATTTTATAGTATAATACAGTGTTGAATGCTTATTATCTGAAAATAATTAAAATATATTTTACAGAGTATTGAATTTTGCTCTCGTTACTCCCTCTCATTTGCCCGAGTTTTCAGTTAGCGAACTACATTTTGTAAAAAATATTAGAAAATATTGGGATATCGTGCTACAATGTTACAGTGTTACCGTATTCCGTATAAAATATGTGACGTGAACTCTTAAATATCACGCCCGCTTCCGTTAAAATTCCATTTTATTTATTGGGAAGTGAAACGTTCCGTTTCCGTAAAACCAAATTCGTGTTGCTCTGTCGCAACGTGTGATGTGGTTTCTTAATATATCTGCTACACATCATTCCCAATGAAGATCATCGCCATCCTCATCACAACTAGAATCGAGCGGAAAATTCGCCGCCACCACACCATAACACCAATGGGAAGCATTTAACGTCACATTTTGTTGACGTTCTTCTTTTGATGTGGTCTCGTAAACTGTAGCAGTTTTTGTTTCATACCGAAATAGCCGTTTAAAGAGCACAATGTTTTTAATGGCCTTTGTCTAAACAACACTCACAACTTTTGCTGCCTGACGTTCGTCGGCCACCCTTTGGAGTCCTCCGCCTGGGGTAGAGTTACCGTTCGACAGAATTTGTGCGCCACACAGTCTAAGAAATCGGTCTCGTCGAACTTTACAACTCATATGTTTGTTTTATAAAAAATAACGACACTTTTATGAACTCTCACATCGCCGAGAAATCAGACGATCTGTCGGCATTTTCGTTGTTTATGTTTTTATGGAGATGGTGAAATCCTGTTAAACGCTTCAAATGCTTATTTGGCTATGTGTAACTGTATGTATGGGACTTGTGTATTTTATTGGTAATAAAAGTCAATAATTATTTGGGATAGTAATATTCAATTTTTTGGTTGATTAGTATTTGCTTGTTTCTGTTATAGCGAAGAACAGGATATGTAGAACGGCCATTTAAATGAAATGGCGTGACATCAAAACAATCTCAAAATCACTAACCATTGTGGACACAAGTCATGTGTGTTATTCATGTCGAACTGAATGGTAGTTCTATATGAATTATAGTGGATTATATAAGTAAATGTGTGGTCAAATAATTTAACAAGAAACTCATTAAAACGAATTCTATTGAAGACTACTTTCAAGTACTGATGGACCTTTATATTGGAGCAATACACAAAAGTCTATTGAAATCAAGCTCAGAGCACAATGGAATGAATATCAAAATTGCACCAACTCTATGACATCTTAAATACGCAGTTGGACTGACGGGCGGATTTAACCTATTGATCAGTTAGATACGAACACTTAGTATACAATTAGTTCTTAATCCCGAATTCGACAATTGTTTTTTATTTGGATCTTGGCATTAACAACTATAAACAGCTATAGCAGCTACATTTTAGTCGAAACACCCTTGGGCTATCTTATCGAACTTATAATGACTTCATTAGAGAAATAATTTTCAGGGATAACCCGCAATGGCTCTGAGACCTTGAGGGTCTTCATTCAAGGCGTGATTCGATAATGACTGATAAAAAATGTCGCCTTGTAGGTGAATAGAGCTACAACAATACAATACACTCTTAAATCCTAATCTGTGTGTGCGCGTATGTGACCTTCATTGAAAAGGTGCACTAGCTATTAACTGCGTGTGGCACTTTATGACGTGTCAACTTATGATTTTATGGCAGGTTTTGTTAATCCTCCTTTACTACCCGTCCTGGAATGGAATGGTAACCTTCAGTGAAACTAAGACAAGCCTGGATTTTAGTTGAAGTTACGGCAAGTCACCGAACGGAGACCTTGTAAGTGGATGTGAATGCGAATGACACGCGCAATTTCCATAATGAAATCCTGTTGGGAAATTCCATAAAATGCAAGACATTCGATGTCCTTCCCGGCAGTAAACAAATTCGTTGCGCTGCGCTGAGTGCTATAAAATTGGACATCCGTGGGAGTTGTGACAGTGATTGGCGTTTTTTGTTTCTTTTCGCTGTGAAAGCCAAGAGTCATTAATGGCATTGTTTTAGGGTCGAATTGCACTAAAATGCTTCATTTCCCATTTTAAGCTACTTTAGTTAAGGACACGCGACTTGCTATTGATCTCTCAATGTCAAAAATATTGAAATGTCAAGGACATGGGCTTCCATGAATTCTCTTCGCCGATGAACCAATGAAAAAGATGTCATAGACCATTGCGAACCCAGTATGACAGATCAATATTATCAGTAAACAAATCACAATTCCTTTAAGACTGTCATTGTCTCCATCACGATGGGTAGTAATTTATAAAGAAATGCTTTCGCGTATATCCTTGGAAATAGACGTGCGAGAGAAATTACATAGACTTTTAGACTTGAAGTATATGTGGGGAATTTGAACCATGTCTCAAAGAGAGTTTGGGAACGGTTGAAAAACCACTTGCTGGCACCTACAGAGATTTGCTGAACACACTTAATGTAGATAAATGTAAAAATTAGGCTGCCTTCATCCTTGTAGGCCCTCAAATGTTGATATCTAATAACCACAATTCTTTATATATCTTAAATTAATAATGATTGTTTTAAACAGAACTAATAAGTTGTGCAATTTTATTTTATTATTATTTCTTTTTATTCACCAATCATTTACTCAATTGATTTGACAAAAGACATTCCAGTTGAAATTCCTCCAAAATATAATTTCTATATTTAAAATTAGAATAGCGTTCGACGGTGGAAGCACTT